CATAGGTTTACAAGAGGTTTGTATGGTTATAGGTCTTTACACAGGTTATAGGCTTACAGGTTGTATGGATTTATAGGTTTACACAGGGTGTATGGTTATAGGTTTACCAGGTTGCATGGTTATAGGGATTTACCAGGTTGTATGGTTATAATAAGTTTATCTAGGTTGAATGATTATAGAGTTTACAGGTTGAATGGTTATAGGTTTCACAGAGGTTGTATGGTGATAGGTTTACAGAGGTTGTATGGTTATAAGTTTACCCTGGATTGTATGGTTATAGGTTTACAGAGGATTTGTATGGTTATGGGAGTTTACAGGTTGAACGTGGTTATGGATTTACAGAGATTTGTATGGTTATAGCCGTTTACACAGGTTATATAGTTATAGGTTTTACAGAGGTTGCCGACACCGGGATGATGGTTATAAATTTACCCAGGTTGAATGGTTTATACAGTTTACAAGCCGTATGGATTTATAGGTTTACACAGATTTATATGGCTACTAGGTTTTACAGACATTGTATGGTTATAGGTTTACAGAGTATTGTGGGCGGTTATAGGATTTTACGGTTGTATATGGTTTTAGAGTTTTACACAGGTTGTATGGTTATCAGTTTTACACAGGTTGTATGGTTATATGTTTCACACAGGTTGTATGTCATCATAGAAGTTTACACAGGTTGAATGGTTATAGGTTTGCCACAGGTTGAAATGGTTATATAGGTTTACACAGGTTATACATGGTTATAGGCTTACAGAGGTTGTATGGTTCACGGAGTTTGGCTACAGGTTAAAATGGTTATAGGTTTACCACAGGTTGAATGGTTTATAGGTTTACAGAAGTTGTATGGATTTATAGAGTTTTACACAGGTTATATGGTTGTAGGTTTGCCAGAGGTTGCAGCGGTTATAGGTTTGCACAGAGGTTGTATGGTTATAGGTTTACAGAGGTTGTATGGTTATAAGTTCACCCAGGTTGAATGCAGGTTACAGGTTTGCCACACAGGTTGAAATGGTTTTGAGTTTACAGTGGTTGTATGGTTATAGGTTTACAGAGGTTGTATGGTTACAGGTTTACAGAGGTTGTATGGTTTACCGTTTGCCACAGGTTGTATGGTTATAGGTTTACACAGGTTATATGTATTTATAGGTTTACAGAGGTTGTATGGTTATAGAAGTTTACCCAGGTTGAATGGTTATAGGTTTACACAGGTTGTATGGTTATAGGTTTACCAGAGGTTGTAATGGATTTATAGGTTTACCCACAGGTTATATGGTTATAGGTTTTACACAGGTTGTATGGATATATAAGCTTTACCTAGGTTGAATGGTTTATAGGGTTTACAGGTTGTATGGTTATAGGTTGACTGGGTTATATGGTTATGGGTTTGCAGAGGTTGAAGGTTACCAAAGTTTGTGGGTGGGCTGGAAGGTTGTGATATAGGTTTACAGTAGGGTTATGGTTACAGGTTTACGTGGAGGTTGTGTATGGTTATATAAGTTTACCCAGGTTGAATGGTTATAGGTTTCAGCAGAGGTTGCATATGGTGATAGGTTTACAGAGGGTTGTACGGTTACCGAAAGTTTACCCTGGGTTGTATGGTTATGTATTTTACCAGAGGTTGTATGGTTATGAGTTTACACAGGTTGTATGGTTATAGTTTACAGGTTGTATGTTTATGTTTATCTCAGGTTGAATGATTATGGGTTTACAGAGGTTGAATGATTATAGGTTTACACAGGTTGTATGGTTATAGGTTTACAGAGGTTGAATGGATTTATAGGTTTACAGGGTTAGCCATGGTTATAAGGTTTACAGAGGTTGTATGGATTATAGGTTTACAGAGGTTGTATGTTATAGGTTTACCAGGTTATAGAGCTTACACAGGTTGTATGGTTATGGAGTTTTACACAGGGTGTATGGTTATGGCAGGTTTCACAGGTTTATATGGTTATAGGTTTACTACAGGTTGTATGGTTATAAAGTTTACAGGAGTTGTATGGTTATGGGGTTTACACAGGTTGAATGGTTATAGGGTTTACAGAGGATTGTATGGTGATAGGAGTTTACAGAGGTTGTATGGTTATAAGTTTTACCTAGGATGTATGGTTATAGGTTGTATGGTGCGTTTACAGAGGTTGTATGGTTATAGGTTTTACACAGGTTGAATGGTTATAGGTTTACAGAGTGGGGTTGTATGGTTATAGGTTTGCCACAGTTTATATAGTTATAGGATTTACAGAGGTTTATGGTTATAAGTTTACCCTAGGTTGTATGGTTATAGAGGTTTACACACAGGTTGTATGTTTATAGGTTTACAGAGGTTGTATGGTTATAGGTTTACAGAGAGGTTGTATGGTTATAAGTTTGCCACAGGTTGTATGGTTATATAGTTTACAGAGGGGTTGTATGGTTATAGGTTTACACAGGTTATAGGCTTACACAGGTTGTATGGTTATAGGTTTACACAGGGTGTATGGTTATAGGTTTACACAGGTTGTATGGTTATAGGTTTACACAGGTTGTATGGTTATAAGTTTATCTAGGTTGAATGATTATAGAGTTTACAGGTTGAGGATGGTTATAGGTTTTACACAGGTTGTATGCATGTTGATAGGTTTTACAGAGGTTGTATGGTTATAAGTTTACCTAGGTTGTATGGTTATAGGTTTACAGAGGTTGTATGATTTTATGAGATTTTACACAGGTTGAATAAGTTTATAGGTTTTACAGAGGTTGTATAGGTTATAGGTTTTACAGGTTATATAGTTATAGGTTTACAGAGGTTGTATGATTTATAAATTTACTTAGGTTGAATGGTTATAGGTTTACAGAAGCTGTATGGTTATAGGTTTACACAGGTTATATGGTTATAGGTTTACAGATATTGTATGGTTATAGGTTTACAGAGGTTGTATGGTTATAGGTTTACTACAGGTTGTATGGTTTTAGGTTTACAGGTTGTATGGTTATAGGTTTTGCCACAGGTTTGTATGGTTATATGTTTACACAGGTTGTATGGTCATAGGTTTACACAGGTTGAATGGTTATAGGTTTACACAGGTTGAATGGTTATAGGTTTACACAGGTTATATGGTTATAGGTTTACAGAGGTTGTATGGTTATAGGTTTACACAGGTTAAATGGTTATAGGTTTACACAGGTTGAATGGTTATAGGTTTACAGAAGTTGTATGGTTATAGGTTTACACAGGTTATATGGTTGTAGGTTTACAGAGGTTGTATGGTTATAGGTTTACAGAGGTTGTATGGTTATAGGTTTACAGAGGTTGTATGGTTATAAGTTCACCTAGGTTGAATGGTTATAGGTTTACACAGGTTGAATGGTTTTAGGTTTACAGTGGTTGTATGGTTATAGGTTTACAGAGGTTGTATGGTTATAGGTTTACAGAGGTTGTATGGTTATAAGTTTACACAGGTTGTATGGTTATAGGTTTACACAGGTTATATGGTTATAGGTTTACAGAGGTTGTATGGTTATAAGTTTATAAGTTTACCTAGGTTGAATGGTTATAGGTTTACACAGGTTGTATGGTTATAGGTTTACACAGGTTGTATGGTTATAGGTTTACACAGGTTATATGGTTATAGGTTTACACAGGTTGTATGGTTATAAGTTTACCTAGGTTGAATGGTTATAGGTTTACACAGGTTGTATGGTTATAGGTTGACACAGGTTATATGGTTATAGGTTTACAGAGGTTGAAAGGTTATAAGTTTAGCTAGGTTGAATGGTTGTATTATAGGTTTACACAGGTTATATGGTTATAGGTTTACAGAGGTTGTATGGTTATAAGTTTACCTAGGTTGAATGGTTATAGGTTTACAGAGGTTGTATGGTCATAGGTTAACACAGGTTGTATTGTTATAGGTTTACAGAGGTTGTATGGTTATAGGTTTACCTAGGTTGTATGGTTATAGGTTTACAGAGCCTGTATTGTTATGGGTTTACATCACAACTAGCGATGGAATCAGTTTGATGTGATACTCCTCACCGTCACAGCTTTAAAGGCAGATCTTTGCAATAGTAAAACGAATCTGTAAATGCACTGAAAGGGTTCCACTAGGTCGTTACTGCGTGGATAGGTACCTTAAACAGAGCTGCCTTATGTTGTATAATTTAGATACAGTTGGACGTAAAACGTGGCTGTATCGTGTTTGAACTATTTTGTTTACTTATGGATCCGTTTTGTTTGGGAGAATCAAGGTGTTGGATTCAAGGAGATATTTCTATTCAGTTTTGAAACAAGGATAAGGAATTGCCATGTTCAATCAGTAATGACTGATATTAATGAATATTCAACATTATATTCTAAAATTAAAACTGTTTCGTGTTTAGAAAATTATCTCTCAAAATGTGTAAAAATCAAACGAAGCAAGACTTAGCCTTATTAAGAATTGGTGAGCTTCCCATTTATTAAATTATTGGTAGACGAGATGGAATTCCACGTCATTATCGCTGTTGTAAGATATGTAAATTAAATTATATAGAGGGTGAATTTCATTTTCTTTATAAATGCCCAGCATATAACGAATTACGTGTTAAATACTTTGAAAATGTACCTATGTACATCAATGAAGATGTCGTGATCTATAATCTTCAAAATGATAATCCAACTCATTTACTGTCCATCTCAAATTATTTTAAAGTTTTAATTTTGCGCAAGTCATCTGTTTGACAGCAACTCATAATGTATTTTGTATGTTACCATTGTACGTTGGCCGAAGGCCTTTCTACCGAATAAAAGATTGATTGACTACCATGACATGAAAATGCTCGTGTGTTCGCAAGCAAGAAAGAGGCTCGTCCCGTGCTACATATATTGTATTGCAATAACTGAGCCGGAGAGTGTGGCAGATTCATGGCTACAATGTCTTCCTAATAAAAGATATTTAACATCATGAAGTATGCTAGCTATGAGTAGTATACTTCAAGACATACGGTATCAGAACTCACGGACATTACGACTTCACTTGCAGAGGCCCTCCCAGTGGTGGAGCAGATCGGGAAAGGTGAGTATTAAACAAACACTTTCCTAGTGCAGTACAACAACCAGTGACGATGTATACACAGTGGCTAGTTTGGTGGGGATACCACTGTCATGATGTGTTACAGTACAACAACCAGTGACGATGTATACACAGTGGTTGGTTTGGTGGTGATACCACTGTCATGATGTGTTACAGTACAACAACCAGTGGCGATGTATACACAGTGGTTAGTTTGGTGGTGATGCCACTGTCATGATGTTTTACAGTACAACCGGAAATTATTGAGAATTTAAAGATTGTAAATTTATATATTTTTTCACTCATTACTCACGTATTAATGTGAATATTAGCGGAACATAGCTCCAGATTCAAAGACAGGTGAATAGTTAGTATTTTGTCAAGTTACCATGGGCAGCAATGCAGGCTTCAATGCGGCGGTGCATACTACTGATCAAAGAAGTTAGAAAGTCGTGCTCCATGCTGTCGGACCACCTCTTCTTTCATTTCAGCAATATTTGTCAGATTTTTCTTATTGACACTTTCCTTCATAAGTCCCCAAACATTTTCTATTGGATTTAGGTCAGGGCTATAGCTTGGCCAATCTAATAATGTCATATTTGGGGTCCGAAACCAGGCCTGTGAATGCTTTGAACGATGTTTTGGGTCGTTGTCCTGCTGGAGAATCCAAAACTTTCCATAGAAGACGTGAGCAGAAGTAAATGTCCCTCGAGAATATTTGTGTACCGCTCACTGTTCATATTCCTTTCAAATACACAGATGGGCGTTGCCCCTAACACAGATCGTTTGTTTTTAGAAACGAGAATTCCAAGCCGCCTCCTGACACTGACAGTCAATTATCTGGGCCTTCCTGCGCCTCCCTGGTGCTCAATGCCATATCCATTTGCAATATTTTTCAAAACACGATAAACAGTGGACAAAGGGATGCCTGTTCTATTTGAAATCACTTTAGCTGATCTGATGTCCTTGTTATAATACTCTAAAATCAACTTCCTTTTCTCTAAATCATCCATACTGAGGATCACTGAAAATGTCGTCTGCTAGCAAGTAAACAAAGGGGATAACTCTTCAAAAACTAATGCAAAAGGATTAACGGAGTTCTCTCTCTTGAATGAAACCAAGCACTTGATAGCTGGTCAAGGTTGTTTATACTAGAAATCCAATTAAACATATTCCTAAAATTCTCAATAATTTCTGGTCAGACTATACCTACCATGACATATTGGATGGTGTAAAGGGGGTGCTGTGTTCGGAGGTTAAACAGCTAATGTTTGATATTTATTAACTTTCCAGTTAACGGTCAGTCTCTTTTCACAGCGTCAATGTTTCGGTTTCAAGCTTACAGCTGATGACAATGTCCACATTTGGACACACAGATACATTATATCTTTAACAACAAGAGTCTGAACCTCTGGACACACAGACACATTATGGTATTGACATCAAGAGTCTGAACCTCTGGACACACAGACACATTATGGTATTGACATCAAGAGTCTGAACCTCTGGGATTATGGTATTAACACAAGAGTCTGAACCTCTGGGGCACACAGACACATTATGGTATTGACATCAAGAGTCTGAACCTCTGGGCACACAGACACATTATGGTATTGACATGAGTCGTGGGCACACAGACAAGAGTATTCATCAAGAGTCTGAACCTCTGGACAGACACATTATGGTAGACATCAGTCTGAACCTTCTGGGCACACAAGACACATTATGGTATTGACATCAAGAGTCTGAACCTCTGGGCACACAGACACATTATGGTATTGACATCAAGAGTCTGAACCTCTGGACACAACACATTGATGGTATTGACATCAAGAGTCTGAACCTCTGGACACACAAATGCATTATAATATTAACAACAAGAATCTGAAAGAGAGTCTGAAAATGGTGATTTCCTGTGCATTAAAAAGATTCTAACAGTATTGCATTTGTTTTATTATAGATTTGCTGCCCACTTTGGAAAGTAAGTACATAAAAATCATCTTCACAGTAAACGAAAACAAACCATTATACATGCTACTAATGGTTGATGGTGGTCTGTGGGTGGATTCCAGTGGAGGTTAATGAGTTATTGCAATTTCTGCCACGTTCCCACACTGATTGTCCAAAGGTGCAATGTATTACAATTGGAACATTGTTCCATAATGAATAACACTGCCTCTTAACAATGAACCGCAAAAGAAACGTAACCTTTCAAAACTAACTGTAAAATTACAAGGTGTTTGTATTATGATTGTATCGTTCTGTGAACATGTTTGACAGTTGATACCAACATCAGTGTGTATTCTAATGAAAAAGCATATCGACCACACGCACCTAAAAAGGCAGACATTGTTCTGTATGACATTCGTGAAAAAGAAAATGCACGTGTATATCGTGACAACCATCCCAATGAAAGCGAGTCCAACACTCGCCTGAAATCATTTTTGTGTTGACACAAACGCCATGCCACGATTTACGAGAGACTGACTGACTGACTGAATTTGGTTTTACGCCGCTTTTAGCAATATTCCAGCAACATCACGGCGGGGTACACCAGAAATGGGCTTCACACATTGTACCCATGTGGGGATTCGAACCCGGGTCTTCGGCGTGACGAGCCAACGCTTTAACCACTAGGCTACCCCACTGCCCGCAGAGATTAGAGGAACCAAGCCACGGGACGAGTGTTGGCTGAACAGTAATTTTCTGAAATTGAGCGATGACAAAACTGAGATTCTCATCATCAGCTCCAAACAGACAAAAACAAAATTCAAGGTCCCTGGAGTTCAAATTGGAGACACGTTTGTTCAATCTAAAAGCCATGCTCGAAATCTAGGTGTCATCTTTGACTCAACATTAAGCACGGAAAATCACGCCAGTAACATCTGTAAATCTGCTTATTACCACCTAAGGTAATAAGGTGGTAATCAGACAGATTAGCAGGTACATGGACACACCATCAGTAAAATGCCTAACCCATGCATTTGTGACATCAGGCCTAGAATACTGCAACAGTCTACTCTATGGAATACAGCAGCAGTACATGGAGCAGTTCAAGACACAGCTGCCAGGCTCATAACACGCACACATATGTATGTGCACATAACACCAGTCCTGAAGGACTTACACTGGCTCCCTGTAAAAGATAGAGTTGTATTCAAACTTCTTGTGTTTGTTTATAAGAATTAATGGGCTTGCTCCATTCTATCTCCAGGAACTAGTTAACCTTCACAAGCCTGGAAGGTCACTCAGATCAGCTAGTCAGCAATGCTTAGATGTTCCATCTGTCCGAACCACAACATACGGGGATAGAACATTTAGCAGAGCGGGTGCTGTACTCTGGAATGGATTACCCGAAATTGTCAGAAAATCAGAAAATATCAACAGTTTCCGATCTTGTCTCAAAACCATCCTCTTCAAACGAGCATTCGACTAAGCGCACATGAGCAGGACTCTGGATATGTAGCGCTATACAAATGTCTAATTTGATTGATTTGATTTGATTTCAAGTTGGCCAGTCATTTTATTGTTTATGTTAAGACAATGTACCGACTGCAGGGGCGATATCAGGCCACTAACAGCATCCAAAAACGTCCACTCAGTGGGCGACTTTCAGTAACATCACAACGTCAAGACCGACAGATTGTGCGCAACCAACTGTAAGATCGTTTGCCCAGAGCGATGGAAACAGCACGCCGTACCATTGGGACTCACATTAGTGCCGATACAGTGCGTCAACGTTTGCGCGGAGTAAACCTGTTGTCACAGACCATATCGTGTTCCTGTCCTCACCGCTCGTCACCGCCAAAACCGACGGCAGTGGGCAACCCGGCATCGAAATTGGCGTTATCGACAATAGAGAACTGTGCATTTTTTCTGATGAAAGCCGATATTGTGTTTCGACAGCCGATTGCAGAGTGAGAGTTTAGCGAAGGCGTGGGGAACTGTTTTCCATTGAGTGCATTGTTGAAAGAGACTCGTGGGGTGGTCAAAGCATCATGGTGTGGGGTGCAATCGGTCTGAACCAGAGAGTTGGCCCCGTGGTGTTCCAGAATATCGGTCCAGGATGAAGAAATGACGTGACAGCTGCTGGCTATATTAACCACGTCATAACACCCCACGTACCATATTTTGGATGTCACGGAAATCACATCTTCCAGCTAATTCATTCCATGTACAGACTATGCAACGCTTTCATCTATGCCACACACAATACTGACTTTGGGGTATCTTAATGGTACCAATTTTGGCGATTTTGTTTGTGTAAACTCTAAATGTGATTTCCAAAAATGTGGTCGACATAATTGTCAAGTTTGAACTCAAGCCTTTGTTTTGATAATTAATTAGAGTGAATTATAGTGTGTGCTTTAAGAAACCTCTATCGGTGTGACGTTTCTTTTGCGGTTCAGTATATATAGAAAGGAGCATAGTCTATTGGATTTTAGAAGTGATCAATTCAAGTTCCATATGAGACTTGCTATGTCTTAGTGGAGGTTATAGGTAATATACTGAAGCTAATTACTAAATATGCAGTATGTAAGTTAACCTACCCCCTGTGAGCCCACTCTGACCTCACTCGGAGACGTACGTTAGACTAGCATACCCGGTATGTCAGCGTGCTTCATGCAGTGGTGTCTGTCATAGTCAGTAAAAGTGCTTTATGCTGTAGTGGCGTGGATATTCAACCAGTGTGGTGTACGTATTAACACTCGGTCAGTTTGGTTTATGTGTTAACACTCAGTCAGTGTAGTTTGTGCTACATGAAGATGTTATCGTGTATTTGTTTACGTGTTTTCATTTTGTTTTGTACTGTGTTGTCTTGGCATTAATACTTGTTTCTATATGTATACTTGTTCTATATGTATACTTGTTTCTATATGTATGACGCTGTGTAATAATGGCGCTGACATTGTTCCAGAGCTGGCACCGACACTCATCAGCACGGCTCTCACGGCAGCTGTTGGAAGAAGGGATCTGTAAGTGAACGAGTGTCAACAACCTGCTGTCAGCAGTAATACACGCTCTACATTGCTACATTACGTAAGCTCTAAGTAAGGTGGAGAATACATGGTTACATCCGGTATTCATTTATGTTTCACAACTTGAGATAAACTGTCAACATTCTGCACCTTACTCTATTTTCAGAAAGTGATTAACAATATTGATCTGTTACTGATACAAGCTGTTACTGATCATTGAAAAGCACATTTACATGACACAATGTAGAGAATCAACTTCCAAGCGTACAGGTTTTGTTTTTCCTCTCACAGGGAGAGGAGGAATATCTTTGATGATATAAAGAAAGGTCTGGAAAATATCGGGAATGCCATCGCCACTGCCGCCAAAGGTTAGATGTTGTCTACTCAGAGTAACGTCATTGTCGCTTCCTGTTTTACAGAACGTATTTAAAGTATACCTACACTTACACAGTTTGTTTTCCTTATTTGAATGAGTACGTTGGTGATATGCTTGATAGAAAATTTTCAGCAGTTTCACCAAGAATATGTTTCATGCTGTGTGCCCGGAGCCAGATGGACCCACCAATGCAGGTGTCAATACACACAATAACCTGGTACTGTACATACATGCATAAAATATAATTTAGTCTGTTTTATGATTGATTCATATCATACATTGCCATAGAAATTAGAAACATGTATATTACATTCTCTAGCCGCTCTACCCGTTGTGGAGGAGATTGGAAAACGTAAGTATATTTACATTTCTATGAATGGGAGAATACTTCTCTGCTGCAGAAATGCACCTACCTACAACATTCGACATTAAATACATGTTCTATCTGCTCTAAATGTGATCATGTTCCACCTACTCTATCAGTGATCATACTCAACCTACTCTATATGTGATCATATTCCACCTACTCTATATGTATGATCATATTGCACCTACTCTAAATGTGAAGGCTTTGCTAAACCGACCAAATGTGTGTGCGTCAAATGTAAAATTATTTTTATACATATATTGAAAAAAAGAGAATGTAATATCAAATTTCTCTTACTGGTGGGCATTGTTTTATTCAACAAATTTAGAATATCAGTTCTATTTTCATAGTGAATTAAATTAAATATAACTTACACACTTTTGTTTCAGAGGTGCTACCAGTTGCTGAAAGTGAGTTTTCTACATACGGAAACTTATGTGTGGTGATAATTCTGTATGCCTTTCTTCACAAATACTCTATCACATTCTTATTTCTTCACACATTAAACACACAGGTGATGCCCGTCTATGATCGTAGCACCCGCGTGTCCCAATCTACGTATGATGCATACCCTGTAAGGTCACAATAATCTTGCACACTGACACAATTATAATATGAAAATAAATCTATATAAGGTGATTGAAATTTCATTGGGGTTGCGATACTTTTCCCTACATACAGCAAACAGACAACGTCATATTCCCCCCTTTTACACACTCGAAACATGTGTTGACCTGCAGCATCCATAACCAGATCTGTCACTAAAACTACTACCACTACCACTACCACTACGTACACAACTACCTCATTACTACTACCACTACCACTACGTACAACTATTACTACTACTACCACTACCACTGCACTCTGTGCTCAAGCTACCTCATTACTACTACTACTACTACCACTACCACACTACACAACTACAACTACCTCATTACTACTACTACTACAACTATTACTACCACTACCAATACCACTACGTAGTCAACTACCTCATTACTACTACTACTACCACTACCTACACAACTACCTCATTACTACTACCACTACCACTACCACTACCACCAACTACCACTACATTTTACTATTACCTCATTACTACTTCTACTACCACTACCACTACCACTACCACTGCCACTACCACTACGTACACAACTACCTCATTACTACTACTACAACTACTACTACTACTACTACTACCACCACTACTACTACCACTACCACTACGTACTCAACTACCTCATTACTACTACTACTACTAATAATAATAATAATAATTACATCTATGTATAATTATACCTACTTTCAGAGGTTGCCCCAAGCCTAATCAGTGTAGGGCTGACTGCTCTCATTGGAAGACGAGATATGTAAGTATTAACCGTGGAATGGATGTACGTTACACTTTGCCTAGTTCTGTAATTTTCATCATTGACATGGATGTGTCTTCAACGTTTCTTTCGTTTGGTGAGGAAGCATTCACACTAGGGTAAATACTACCTACACGTTTCCAATTCCAAAATCTAGCGATCGCAGAAGCTTCCTCGATGATCTAAAGAAAATCGCCGAAGGTAAGAACCTTTATATTTTTACTTCCGTGTATGCTTCTACCATTCAGCAGTTTTCAGCATTACTCGGGTAAATCCAGTCAACCAGAAATGACATAAAAGCGTGTTGCACAGCATTTCTCAGTACAAGACATTTTCTTTTAGGTAGGCATTGCTGATTTAGCTTCTTCTTCATATTTCCTGATCTGTTTCATTTTACAGGTATTCTGAAGGAGGTTGAGGGTGAGTATACTGGATATATTTGCTGTTGTGGATAAGGTGAAGCTACTCAGGATAGAAATTATAAAGAATTGCACATTTTATTTAAGAAGAATTGGAATTGTTGTATCGCTTCCCAGTGTCCTTTAATGCACAGTTCAGTACCAAAGTAAGATCAAATCTCAAGAGTATATGTTACATATGACAATATCACAATATTTTGTGTGGTTTATAAGCTCTTGTATTTATTTCCAGTTGTAGCGCCCAAAGTGATTGAGAGTGCTTTGCCCGCTCTTCTATCTGGTATTGGTAAACGTGAAATGTGAGTGATATAGCTGAGATATGTGTTGATCATAAATTCGGGATCGGAAAATTAACTGATACTTTTGCCGGAATATCTAATGATTACGAAAGAAGATATTTGCTTTTATTCTTGCATTATTTTATAAATCTGGATACCAATCTTTTCGTTACCATTTGCAGTTTGTAGACATTTAACTGCCAACCATTTAATATTTGTCTCTCACAGGGAGAGGAGAAATATCTTTGATGATATAAAGAAAGGCCTGGAAAATATCGGGAATGCCATCGCCACTGCCGCCAAAGGTTAGATGTTGTCTACTCAGAGTAACGCCATTGTCGCTTCCTGTTTTACAGAACGTATTCAAAGTAGACCTACACTTACACAGTTTGTTTCCTTATTTGAATGAGTACGTTGGTGACATGCTTGATAGAAAATTTCCAGCAGTTTCACCAAGAATATGTTTCATGCTGTATGCCCGGAGCCACATGGACCCACCATTGCAGATGTCAATACACACAATAACCTTGTACTGTACATACATGCATAAAATATAATTTAGTCTGTTTTATGATTGATTGATATTGAACCTTACCAATACAAATGAGAAAAATATACAATAACTTTTCTCTAGCCGCTCTACCCGTTGTCGAAGAGATTGGAAAACGTAAGTATATTTACATTTCTATAAGTGTGAGAATGTGCTTCTCAGCTACGAAAAAACCCATAAAATACGTGTTCCACCTACTAGAAATACGAAGAAATCTTTACTAAACCGATAAATATGCGTCTGCGTGAAATATAAGCCATAATACAAGTTATTCAATTAAAAAATAGATAAATGTATAATGAAAAGTCTCTAACTGTCAGACATTGCTTTAATAGAACAAATGTGGAATAGAAGTTATTTGTTTAAAGATACCAAAAACGTTTGTTTCAGAGATTCTCCCGGTTGCTGAAAGTGAGTTACATACGTAATATTGCCACAACAAATACTGTTCACAGAGGAAACACTGTTTCCCTTTCCTCTGTTCAGATCTCAAATACACAACTCTCTTCACTGGATCACCTGCCATATCCCAACCATACCTGACATTGAGACAACACTTATTTACTGCCACTGCTACCGCTCCTACAGCTACTACTACCGCCACTGCTACCGCTCATACAACACCTACTACTGCCACTGCTACCGCTCATACAACAACTACTACCGCCACTGCTACCGCTCCTACAACTACTACTACTGCCACTGTTACCGCTCCTACAACAACTACTACTGCCACTGCTACCGCTCCTACAACAACTACTACCGCCACTGCTACCGCTCCTACAACAACTACTACTGCTACTGCTACCTCTCCTACAACAACTACTACTACCACTGCTACCGCTCCTACAACAACTACTACTGCTACTGCTACCTCTCCTACAACAACTACTACTACCACTGCTACCGCTCCTACAACAACTACTACTGCTACTGCTACCTCTCCTACAACACCTACTACTGCCACTGCTACCGCTCTTACAACAACTACTACTGCTACTGCTACCGCTCCTACAACACCTACTACTGCTACTGCTACCGCTCCTACAACTACTACTACCGCCACTGCTACCGCTCCTACAACACCTACTACTGCCACTGCTACCGCTCATACAACAACTACTACCGCCACTGCTACCGCTCCTACAACAACTACTACTGCCACTGCTACCGCTCCTACAACAACTACTACTGCCACTGCTACCGCTCCTACAACAACTACTACCGCCACTGCTACTCGCCTCTCCTACAACAACTACTACTGCCACTGCTACCGCTCCTACAACAACTACTACCGCCACTGCTACCGCTCCTACAACAACTACTACTGCTACTGCTACCTCTCCTACAACAACTACTACTACCACTGCTACCGCTCCTACAACAACTACTACTGCTACTGCTACCGCTCCTACAACACCTACTACTGCTACTCCTACCGCTCCTACAACAACTACTACTGCCACTGCTACCGCTCTTACAACAACTACTACTGCTACTGCTACCGCTCCTACAACAACTACTACTGCTACTGCTACCGCTCCTACAACACCTACTACTGCTACTGCTACCGCTCCTACAACAACTACTACTGCCACTGCTACCGCTCTTACAACAACTACTACCGCCACTGCTACCGCTCCTACAACACCTACTACTGCTACTGCTACCGCTCCTACAACAACTACTACTGCCACTGCTACCGCTCTTACAACAACTACTACTGCTACTGCTACCGCTCATACAACAACTACTACCGCCACTGCTACCTCTCCTACAACAACTACTACTGCTTCTGCTACCGCTTCTAAGACAACTACTACCGCCACTGCTACCCTCCTACAACAACCACTACTGCTTCTGCTACCGTCTCTACAAACAACCGCCACTGCCATCTGCCCTACGACAACCATCACCGCCACCGTTACATCTACTGCAGTTAAAGCCACTGCTACTGCTACCCTACTGCAGTTAACCCATTGCTACTGCTACCCCTACTGCAGTTAAAGCTACCGCTACTGCTACTGCCACCTCTACCGCAGTTAAAGCTACTGCTACCGCTAGTGCTACCGCAGTTAAAGCCACTGATTACCGCTACCCCCACTGCAGTTAGAGCCACCGCTACTGCTGCTGCTACCCCACTGCAGTTAAAGCCACCGCTACTGCCACTGTACCTTACCGCAGTTAAAGTTACTGATACTGCTACTGCAGTTAAAGCTACTGATACTGCTACCTCTACTGCAGTTAGAGCTACTGCTACTGCTACCTCTACTGCAGTTAAAGCTACTGCTACTGCTACCTCTACTGCGGTTAAAGCTACTGCTACTGCTACTGCTACTGCAGTTAAAGCTACTGATACTGCTACCTCTCCTGCAGTTAGAGCTACTGCTACTGCTACCTCTACTGCAGTTAAAGCTACTCGCTACCGCTACTGCTACCCCACTGCAGTTAAAGCCAGCTACTGTTACTTACCACAGTTAGAGCTACTGCTACACCTCTACTGCAGTTAAAGCCACTGCTACTGCTACCCTACTGCAGTTAAAGCCACTGCTACTGCTACTGCCACCTTTCACTGCAGTTAAAGCTACTGCCAACCCTACTGCAGTTAAAGCACTTACCCCACTGCAGTTAACCCACTGCTACCTCTACTGCAGTTAAAGCTACTGCTACTGCTACCTCTACTGCAGTTAAAGCTACTGCTACTGCTACCTCTACTGCAATTAAAGCTACTGCTACTGCTACCTCTACTGCAGTTAAAGCTACTGCTACTGCTACCTCTACTGCAGTTAAAGCTACTGCTACTGCTACTGCTACCTCTACTGCAGTTAAAGCTACTGCTGCTGCTACTGCTACTGCAGTTAAAGCTACTGATACTGCTACCTCTCCTACAACAACTACTACTACCACTGCTACCGCTCCTACAACAACTACTACTGCCACTGCTACCGCTCTTACAACAACTACTACTGCTACTGCTACCGCTCCTACAACAACTACTACTGCTACTGCTACCGCTCCTACAACACCTACTACTGCTACCTGCTACCGCTCCTACAACAACTACTACTGCCACTGCTACCGCTCTTACAACAACTACTACTGCTACTGCTACCGCTCATACAACAACTACTACCGCCACTGCTACCTCTCCTACAACAACTACTACTGCTTCTGCTACCGCTTCTACGACAACTACTACCGCCACTGCTACCTCTCCTACAACAACTACTACTGCTTCTGCTACCGCTCCTACAACAACTACTACCGCCACTGCTACCGCTCCTACGACAACTACTACCGCCACTGCTACATCTACTGCAGTTAAAGCTACTGCTACTGCTACCTCTACTGCAGTTAAATCTATTGCTACTGCTACCTCTACTGCAGTTAAAGCTACTGCTACTGCTACTGCTACCTCTACTGCAGTTAAAGCTACTGCTACTGCTACTGCTACTGCAGTTAAAGCTACTGATACTGCTACCTCTACTGCAGTTAGAGCTACTGCTACTGCTACCTCTACTGCAGTTAAAGCTACTGCTACTGCTACTGCTACCTCTACTGCAGTTAAAGCTACTGCTGCTGCTACTGCTACTGCAGTTAAAGCTACTGATACTGCTACCTCTACTGCAGTTAAAGCTACTGCTACTGCTACCTCTACTGCAGTTAAAGCTACTGCTGCTGCTACTGCTACTGCAGTTAAAGCCACTGATACCGCTACCTCCACTGCAGTTAGAGCCACTGCTACTGCTAACCTCTACTGCAGTTAAAGCCACTGCTACTGCTACTGCTACCTCTACTGCAGTTAAAGCTACTGCTGCTGCTACTGCTACTGCAGTTAAAGCTACTGATACTGCTACCTCTACTGCAGTTAAAGCTACTGCTACTGGTACTGCAGTTAAAGCTACTACTACCTCTACTGCAGTTAAAGCCACTGCTACTACTACCTCTACTGCAGTTAAAGCTACTGCTACTACTTCTACTACCTGTACTGCAGTTAAAGCTACTGCTACTACTACTACTACCTGTACTGCAGTTAAAGCTACTGCTACTGCTACCTCTACTGCAGTTAAAGCTACTGCTACTGCTACCTCTACTGCAGTTAAAGCTACTGCTACTGCTACTGCTACCTCTACTGCAGTTAAAGCTACTGCTACTACTACCTCTACTGCAGTTAAAGCTACTGCTACTGCTACTACTACCTCTACTGCAGTTAAAGCTACTGCTACTGCTACTACTACCTCTACTGCAGTTAAAGCTACTGCTACTGCTACTGCTACCTCTACTGCAGTGAAAGCTACTGCTACTGCTACCTCTACTGCAGTTAGAGCTACTGCTACTGCTACCTCTACTGCAGTTAAAGCTACTGCTACTACTACCTCTACTGCAGTTAAAGCTACTGCTACTGCTACCTCTACTGCAGTTAAAGCTACTGCTACTGCTACCTCTACTGCAGTTAAAGCTACTGCTACTG